GATTAATCCAAGGAATATAATTCCTAAGAGAATTTTTGAAAAAACTTCTAAAAGTCAAACTTAGTAGTAAAACTAGAGAATAATATCAAAACCAGTCAACAAATAATACCACCATGTGAAAAGTTTGAAAATGTTCTTTTAAATGGCACTCAGAGCCCTAATGGTAGAATATCTACAAATTGACCATAATAAAAATACTAGACATCAATACCTATGATCTACAGCTAAAGCAGTGATTTGCAGAAAAACTTGAGCCTTAAACACATACATTAATAAACAGGAAATACCAAACATGACTTCATCATCTCCAACTTTTTAGATGAAATACAATAAATTAATGTTCAAGTAAAATAGAAAATAGGGAGGGAGGTGGTGAGAACCTAACAAAACATAAAGGGACTAACTCACTTAATAGAAGAAATACACAAAATGAATTAAAAAGAATTATAACAGGTTACTTTGCTCAACTAATCCTGGATGCTATACTGTACCTGGCTTCCCCCAGCAGTTGCTGAAAAGGCAGCCTATCCAGAGATGTCCCATGTGGCCAGCTCTGCCTGTTGGTTAAGGCAGTGAGTAACTCCGCTCTGGTGGCCCTGGCATTGTACCTCCCTCTAAGGAACCCAGACTAAACTCACATGATTTTATATGAACTCAAGCCTAAAGCTATCATTAGGCTTAATTCTGAATCACTACAAGTATTTATACTAAAATAGAAAACATGGATATTATTTATTTGTAGGTACTAGCTGATATAATTAGAAAAGAAATGAGGTATAAAAATTAAAAAGAAAAAATCATCACTATTTGCAGATGATATTATTGCACACCTGGTAAATCCAAGTAAACCAGCCAGAATAACACACAAACAAAATGAGAATTTAGTAAGGTGGATGGGAGCAAAATTAATATTGAAATAATCACCAGTGAAAAAGTATAATAGAAAAAAAATTTATTTATGATAGCAACAATAAACACAATGGAAGTATCTTTGAGAATAAAACTTTAAATGTAACTCCACTAGTTTATTGATAGTAACAATAGATCCTCTTCTAAGATAAAAGAATTCAGAGTTACACCGCTGTCATTCTCACTATGCTAATTTTGCTTGATTCTAAAAAAATACCAACAGGAACATTTTTTTAAAAAAAAATTAGAAGAACTAATTCTAAAGCTCACAGAAGATTCATGAGAGGACAGACCTACCAGATATGAAAACATATTGAAAAACAACTGTGATTTAAATAATTTAGAACTGATCTTTGAGTAGACAAATAGGACAGTATTCAGAGATTGATATAAATACATACAGGAATATATATCATATCTCATATATGTATCTCATATATAATATAGGAAGCAGCATTTCAAATTGAAGGGAGAAGATGGGTTAGTCAATCAGCTGGATAACTATCTCTGGGGTAGGGACCGGGGCCCTACCTGACTGTGTATACATACACAATGCAGAGTGATACAAAATTTAAATAAAACAAAACCCAAATGTATTGAAGAAAAAAGAGAATTGCTTTACTATCTTAAAGTAAGCAATTCCTTTCTGAGCTTAATGTAAGCTTTATGGCTTATAAGAAGCCATAAAATAAAAGATGGAAAATCAA